CTGTTGCACAGTGATTAGTCTCGCTTGCCCAGCCTGCCTCTCTCCATGCTTGGGTTGGTACGGCTCCAGTGATACGATGTTGTCAGCAAGACAATAAGAATTCATAATAATAATAATGGATTGGCTTTATATAGCGCTTTTCAAGGCACCCAAAGCGTTCTACAATTCCACTATTCATTCACTCTCGCATTCACACACTGGTGGAGGCAGCTACAGTTGTAGCCACAGCTGCCCTGGCCTGGGGGAGACTGACAAAAGCAAGGTTGCCCCTCTGGCCAACACCAGTAGGTGGTAGGTGAAGTGTCTTGCCCAAGGACACAACGACCAGGACAGAGAGCCCGGGGATCAAACCGGCGACCTTTCGGTTACAGATGCGCTTCCCAACCCCATGAGCCACGTTTGTCCATCTCCCTTAAATAAACAGGCAGCCTTAATAAACATTGTTTATTTTTATTTTACTAGTATTTTCCAAAATACTGTGTCAAATATATATTTTCTCATCTAAATGTCCACTGAGCTGTGAGCCAGGGGCGGTAATGTAGTACTCTACATATAGCTTTTTGGCTAACTGTGACTGCTCTGGCTTTAGCTGATTACTTACCAGTGGGATCAAATACTCTTTGGTCGGGCTTTTTAACCTTGCATGCATTGTAAATACTCTCTAAAGGCACATGTGTATATGTAATCCTGTGCGGATCATCCATTCTCATCCCGTCTCCAGCTACATGAACGCTTTTCACAAACAATTCTTTTTCTCTTTGTCTAAGTGCTCTTCTTTATCCACTTGTGGTGGGGGTAAGGCAAACAGAACCAGCATGCTTGGCCAGCAGGCAGATCGGGTCATGGCCCTCGGTGAATGGGAAGAATACTGGAAACGGAACGAAATTGGTTTCCATCAGTCCCAAGTGCACAAGTAAAGACCCCACTTTTATCTACCTCAGTGGCGTAAGAAAGTAAAAACTGTGTCCCGAAATACTTTCAGAAAACTAGTCCAAACAAGTTGGACCCCAACCCAGCAGAGATTAAGGCCTCATTTTAAACTCTGGTAATGACATTTATTTCAAAATAAAAGAACTTCAATTTCTAAAATGTAAATATTATGAATGGGTATACATTGTTTGATAATGTGTTATATAATGTATCCATACATGGATATTCCTTGCCATGTTATTCTTTTATTTTGCAGGTATGCAGCTCTCATTATTTCTCTGATGGCCAAAGACTGCAGATACCTCCTGGAGACTCTTCTGTACAATCCTGATTTATATGAAGGTACATTATAACCTTATGTCTGCACGTTAAAGAAAGGTACAGACTGTGATGCTGATGCTCCCAACAATCAGAAAAGGAAGGCAAGCTTATTGATACAGTTTGAGGTCAGCTGGAGCTATTTGGTTCAATTTTGTTTTTTGGAAAAAGGCAGAAATAAAGGAGCAGGCTTGGAGAAAACTGAGTGAATATTGAAGGACCTGCTGGCAGGTTATGGAAATGTGTTACTGTAGCTTGATTCCAACTATTTGCAGTCTTCCAATTGGCTGCAAATATTTGTGTTTAAACAAGTAATGTGAGGTGAAACCTTATGCTTTGCTTTGCATTTGGTGTGAAAGGTCGATTAGAG